CATGGGTTCACACAACATAGATTCCTATAACATGGATTCATACAACACGGATTCCTATAACACGAGTCCATAAACACGGATTCCTATAACACGAATTCATACAACACGGATTTCCTATAACATAGGTTCATACAACACGGATTCCTATAACATGGATTCATGCAACACGAGTTCATACATCACGGATTTCTATAACATGGATTCATACAACACGGATTCCTATAACCCGGGTTCATACAACATAGATTCCTATAACATGGGTTCATACAACACGGGTCCATAAACACGGATTCCTATAATACGAGTTCATACAACACGGATTTCTATAACATGGCTTCATACAACACGGATTCCTATAATACGGGTGTCTATAATATTAATAACATTAATTTTGTCATTAGCAATAAATGACATTTATTAAAATTTTAACACAGGTTCTTCCAACACAGACGATATGCAATCACAACTTAACCCCTTGCCTTGGCATTTTAGGTCCAATGGCGTGCGCATAGTCAACAGCAACGTCACTCACACATCGAGCCATCGACGAAAAATAATATGCAAACGATGCAGAAAAACACCGACGAAAATTAACAACGATCCTGATCTGTGATGTTTACATTAGGCCCTATCTACAACTCACGTCTCTCGCCCGTGATACTCGTGTTCGACCCGATCTCCACATCGCGAGTCTCACGCGATATCGTAAGCGATGGGATTAAAAAGATAAAAATATTAGATTTAAAGAACTATATTTGAATTAATACACTATACCAAATCTCATTTTGGATGTCCAATATTTATATTTCGTCCGTATCGCAATTTACCGTAATAAGCATTGCGCTGACAACTAGAGGAAATAATGACATCTGCCGTGTAATCGTTATCTGAAATCGCGTAGGTACCCCAACACGCGTAATCGATATTACGATATAAATATCTCGACGAACATGTATGTACGTGGAACGTGAAATTTATGTTCAAAAGTTCTGCAGCAGCAAGCGACCTACGTCACCAGCAATGAAAATAAGGCTTAAGCGTACGATGACTTTCGACCACGGTAAGTCGTTCGAACAAATCTCGTAGACGGAATTTGTACCGCGCATATCTTCGTCTATGGTTAAGCTATGCGTACACCCACGACTTGCAACGAGCTGCGCGATAATAAAGCTTCCGGTCTGGCCGTACCAGCCGCAGGGACAGAAAACAAAACGTCAGGGGAAGAGAAGAAAATTATTATTCCTTGGCTGCGCGGCGCGTGTACAGAGCGGGGTACACGAACCGGATGTAACGTGTTTGATTTACCTCGCACACACCTGCCCTCTATCGCTATAGATCCACCCTTAATTGTTGATCGATTGTTATATCTTCGTCTTTTAATTTCACGAAGATTGTGCGAAAGATTCTGCTGTCTTATTTATTGGATCAAGTTCTCGCTGATTATCGAACACTATCGATCGTGCAACGAGACTCGTGATAAAATTACTTTTCCAGATGGCGCTACAAGTCTGATGCCGAATACGAATATGGAGGTTATAGTGCAAGGGGAAACAAAGGGAATTAGATGTTATATTTTGAGAAAAATATGCAGGTGATTCTCTTTGGTATTGTAAGAATTAAAAAATTGGATACTAATGTTGTGTGAAATATAAATTTAATAATCTTCAATTGTATAAATTGACGGTAGTTAAAAGATTGGTTAATTATAAAGAAAGAATTTCTTTTAATTTCTTTATTAATTTCTTAATTTCTTTTATATTTCTTTTAAATGAAAATTCATTGAATTTTTGATCAGAAGAATTTCTAGATATATATTTTTAAAAATTATTTTGTTCTCCTTTGAATTTAAGTTAAACTAACTATATCGAATTAAAATTCTTTAATATAAAAATTAAATTTATCAAACATATTATTTCTAATTGTTAAATTAACGATGTAATTGTAGTTGTTAAATTATTAATTCTTTTTCTTCTTCCAATTTTTTTTAATTAGGTTATAAATTATTAATCAAATTTTACATAGTAGTGATAGTGTATATAGTAATAATAAAATCTTATATAGTATCTTATATGATAAATAAGATACTAATATAAATAAGTTTAAGCCTGTTAATATTTTTATTATATAAGTTTACAAAATAGTCAATGTATAGTACCTTAAGGCCCATTTTCACACTTCATAAGAGTAGAAAAATAAACATAATAGATATCTCAAGAAACTGAACACTTACCTACAATAGAACTTGGTAATAAAGCAATGAGCATTGGAATTTTACCTTGCTACTTTAATCAAACATGAACTGATAAGATTACAATGTGATCGTTTGAAAAAAATTGTTTAAACAAACATTCAGTAATATATAGATAATCCCGTTTCACAATGAATATGTACAATAATAATTTTTCAATAAAACTCAGATTAAAAATCAATTTATATTTAATTTGATATTTACGACTTACGATAACAAATTAATTCTTCTACGAAATAAAAATTCTACGTATAATTTCAACATCAAAATTTTATAGAAAATTAATTTATTGTTGAAAAATTAATCTCAACGATATTAAAATAAAAAAGTGAGGAAACATAAAGGAGATCACGCTAACGTAACGTGTTCATGGTAAAAGCGAAAATGTTAAGCGTTATTTAAATTGCACATGATGCGGGTAATTTTACGGTTTCTAAGCTGCTGCTTTATTTCACTGTGGAACGACTCGCATAAACGTAATGGCGCACCGTTAAGTATTACTCCTTATAAGTTTCACTTTTTTTTCACCAGTTGGTGTTAATACGATGTTAGACGCACCGTGGTTAGGAGCGTGTGGAATTTTTTCATTAACATATTTCCCACTGTACTTTCTTTCACGCAATACAGAGACTGAATGAAAGAAACACGTGAACAATCTGTGCACCTATTATTCGACGTAACAATCGATACGTAAGATCCCGATAGTAGCGAAAGTATTATCGAGAGTAGAATAACAATAAACTTATCACGCTATATATATCTTCTTACACGATATTCTTTACTAAGAATTATTAAAATATTTGTATTCCATACTCTCCCACCTGAAATTTTTCGTACCATTAATAGTTTAATAAAATGTACCAATAATTGTATATTTATATAGAAATACAAATGTATAACCTTAAACACGTAGTTCTTATGAGCTGAAAACACGTGTCAAAAAATGCGTGCTTTAGGTTATAAGCGAAACACGTGCCATTTAATACGAAATAAATAAAAATCATTGGTTAACATACCCCCTCATCTTTGATCAAATTTTCAGGCCTGACTTCGGCGTCTACGTAGAATACAGAATTCATTTCACGGTGAAACCACATATTTCTCTTGCGCAACTCAACTGCGCATACTGTCGTAAGAAACCGTCGGATTCATTTTTATTATTTCCTCTTTATCTTCGCGTGAACATCGTAGCTCGACTCTATGAGAAACTCAAAAGTCTCGTTCGTATAATATCTGTCAACACAAACACAGCCACTTGGTGTCACTTGAGAACAAAAATCTTTCTAATCGTTTGCATCGAAACAGTCAAAACGACACGTCCGGCAAAGTGTTTACAAACATCGTGGAATCGAACGTTCGAATATCGAGACATTGGGAACGCGACGTATTATTCGATGTGACATCATTTTATCGACGAAGCACGAAGACTGTGGGAAGACTCATCGTAATTCTCTGGTGCAACGAGTCGGTTCCAAGAGAAACGATGCCTCGTGTACAGACAATTGTTACTTCTTTTCTCCGCGGTAGCCCCGTGAAAACTGGAAAGCGAAACGTTAATCGCACACCTCACTCGTTTGTGTATACGCAACGTGTCCTTCCCCCTACCCTCACGTAAATTCGTTCCTCTCTTGACTACTTGATGGCCCTTCTGGCGGTCAATTAGCGACCTCCTTGATTCGTTGTTCCCTGTAAAGTCACAGTGAAATCACGCCACTTCTCACCGCTGTAATTAATACTGCATGCAAGTGCAATAGCAATTAACGGCGAAAGCATTGAGTTACCGGGCTTCCCCTTTCATTTACTTCTGTATTTTTTAACTTGGGAAGAGCATCAATTAAAAAATTATGCTGAGAGACAGACTTGACATATTTTGAGCATACAAGTGAAATAATAATATTGTCCATTATTTTTCCTCTGGAAACTTGAATTTGTGTCAGATAAGTGATAAAATGAATTTATAAAATGTTTATTTTAATTTTTTACAGATGTATTTTATTAATTTTTTAATATTATTAGAGAACATGAAAATTTTGGTATTTAACAGAGTTAAAAGTTTGTTGATTTTTTTATCATATTTTGTTTGTTGAATTCTGCAACTTTTATGTCAGATGTAATATAGAATTATAAATTTTAATATGAAGATTGATACAATATGGGTATTATTGTTAAGAAATTTTTAACAATTTTTAACTTTCTATTAATGGCGTAATTTTTAATTTCTATTTAATTTTATTTAATTAATAATTTTATTTACAGAACATAATAACACGGAAGGTTTAGAAGGTTTTATAAAAGATAAAACAATTATTGTTTTTTCTATTTTCATTATTGTAAAAATGATAATAAACATTGAATTTTATTCAATTAAAAAAGAAATGCGCATAACTTGGTAATACAATTAATTAACATTATAAAAATTAATTATATATAGTAAATAATGCTACTGTTTTATTTTCCCAGTTAAATATTGAACAATACTATCAAAATTTTGATAATAAAATTGTGTCGCTACAAATTTTGTGTAACAACGTTATATTGTATGTGAAATATATATGTATCACTTGTTTCATTCAAGTTTCATAAAATAATGAAAAAACAAATTCAAAGACAAAATTCAGGTTTTATATTTCTAGAAATGCAGCATATAACAATTTGGTCATGTCAGTAAATTAACGTTTTATAAAAAAAATTCCAGTGCATGGAAATAAATTAAATTTCAGTTAGTCTGGATAATGTATTTATTTAAATTTACATACTATTAGGAAATATAAGATTAAACAATGTCTGCTGGAGCGGAATTATTAACCACAGCGGAACCACATCTTATTCCTGGGTAAATAGTACTATCACTTATAGGTTATGTTTAAAAATATACTATACATTGTTCAAAGCATATTTCACGAGGAAGTAATAAAAACATTACTGCTTCTTAAGTTTCGTAAAAAAGTAAATGCGACTTTAGATATTGAGAAAAAAAATCTTATCTTCTTCACGGATATCGTTATACCGATATACATCGATAAAAAAGGGAAGTAAATGATTCGCTTTAGATACGCCGGATATTGCCCTCAATACCGCTACAGATGCGGAGAAACGTATGGAAGTCTCACTCACAAATTGCTTCTTGATCCCACTGTAAATCATGCCGAGACACTTATTTTATCGAACCGAGTTACCGACGACTATGAGGTATCGTGAAATTTTTTACAGATCCCGCTTTTACCTTATCACCCTGATTTACCATATCACCTGTTAGTTAAAATTGTTTCTCTCTAGGTCCAGAGGCCACCAAAAAGTGACATAGATATAGTAAATGCTAGATATAAAAGAACTGATCCCATATTCATCCATCCTCTTTTGCCAGGCTATGAAGGTGTATAAAATAAAAATAAATTTTAAAAAGAGAAATAAATCTGATACTTCAATGACAGCAAATTGTTTATTTCAGGCTTTACCCCAAAACTGAATGCCGGAAATGGACAAAGATATACAGTGCTGGCTACAGAAGGGCTTGCTGAATTTGAACAACAACAATTACGAAATAAAGCAGCTCTTAATGAATTTAAGAGAGTAGCAGCTATACAAAGTGGACAGGGTGAACCAAGAAATGTAGAAGATCGCTTAGTAATATTTATACGTTAATATGAAATTTTTCTATATTAAGGGGAAAAAACTAGGAAGAAGAGAATAAGAATAAATTTATTTTTAAAACCTTTGACTCTTTAACAGCTAATAAAAAGTGAGTTTAAACTACCTATGCTAACGGTTCGTCCTGATTGTGTGGGTGTAACGAGGAATTTATTTTTGGACGAACAATACGAAACTCCCAGGGATCACTCCCCATCCCCCTATTTCATGGATAACGCAAATCCGAAAAAATACTTTATCAGTCGTAAGTGAATTTGTCAAGTCATTATTAACTTGAAATTATCTTTGAATAATTACATAACGCAATAGTAATGATGTTATGTAAGATTCAACTGTTTTCCAAAATATTTAACCTGGTAAGACGTATCAACAAAATGAATTAATAAGTATTTATTTAACAAAGTCCATTGCCAGTGTTACAATTTTCTAAAGTTGTAACACTGCATTAATAATAAAGAGTAAGATAGATGGATCTTACGGACAGTGAAAATCGAATGCGATATTCTTTCATTCGAAAGAATGAAAGACGTGAGTATGAATGTTGAAAATCTGAATATTGATTATTTTTTCTCACGAGACTATAATGCATCAATATTTAATCATATTTGTCAAGGATATGCGGGTCATATACCATATGGATACGCACATTTTGGAAAAACAAACCTTCCCGCTACTAACAGCGCCCTTTGCGATTTTACATCCGATTATCGAAAAAGGCAAAGTACAGAATGGGCACCAGTAACAATTTCACGACCTGATCCACCGTTCATAATTCAACCTACCACTCTTTATCATAAACATGTTGGAATGCTTCCAAATTATCTTGGACATGTTCCTGGAGAAACTTTTAGGTATCTAATGATTTCTGCTTTATTATGCATATTACAAAATCACATTTTATTTCAATATCAAATGTTACATTTAGATTCGGCAAAACTTTTGGAACTGACACTAAAGACGCAAAAAGGTGGCTACGTGGCGATTTCTCTGTATAAAATATGACACAATCAACAAATCGTATATATAAAATATATGTATAGTACAATAACAATAACAATATTTTATACAAACTGTATATAGTGAGTCTGAAAGAGTATATATTATATATAATGTTGTACAATCAAATTTAAGGGAAATTCTAAATAAACTTTCAAAAATTTAGTATCTAAAATACAGAGTAGAAATAATTTCTAATATTACTGAGATTTCCATTTCATTAAAATTTCAGCTGCTTTCTCCAAGTTTTTATCTTCCTGTAGTAAAGAAAGTTAATTATAAATAAAAAAGAAATGTGACATTAATATATACTATAAATCACTTACCTTTATAAAACAATATCGTACGCTATCTTCACCTAAGTACTTATGTTCGGGACTATAAAATGTAGATGGCGGAATTCCTTGAACTCCAACGTTTTTCGTCATCCATTTTGTAAAACGATAATCTTTGCCCCCATCTGTTTCTTCCTCTAATCTCACTTTATCTTTTAAAGCTGTCCAATTGGCTATCATAAAATATCCACCTTCAGGGATTGTCGGAATCATCCCCACATCGCTAAGAAATTTAGCCATATAATCTCGTTTTGGTAATAATTCCTTTGCTAAACTTACAAAATAACAATCAGGTTTACCAAATCTATCTAATTCTTGTTCAAACCCAATAGCTACAGCTTCCTAAAAGATTAATAATTATAATTTTATAATAAGTATAATTTGAAATAATTCTAACATATATGATGATATATATTCATTTAATGATTCAATAATTACTTGAACTGGTGTATTACATGTATATACACTATTTTGATGAACAATTTGCAAATTATATAATAAATTGGCTGGACCATAGGCCCATCCTAGTTTCCATCCAGTGACACTGAATGTTTTACCAGCAGATCCAATTGTAATTGTACGTTCATACATATCAGATAATGTCGCTAAAAATTCATTATGAACATAAAATATTTAGTAAAAGTAATATTAATAGTATAATATAACACATTCTTACCAATTCTAATATGTTTATATGGTTCATAAACAAGCCATTCATATACTTCATCCGAGATAACGAGGACATTCCATTTTTTAGCTAAATTAGCAATAAACTGTAATTCATCTAAAGTAAAAACTTTTCCCACCGGATTATGTGGAGTGTTAATAATTATTCCTTTTGTTTTTTCATTGAAAAGACTTTCTAATTCTTGTCTGTCGAATATCCAATCTGCAGAAGAAAGAGGCCCATTTGTGCTTTTCTTCAAAATGCAAAACATATAATGTAAAATATAAATAGCTTATATCAATAAAGTATACTCCCACATTTAAAACTTACTGGTTTTAAAGCAATAAATCTTGGAATCCCTCCAGCAGATTGAACCATAGGTACATAACAATCAAAAAAAGGTTCAATAATTATCCATTCATCACCAGGGTTAGTATGACCTTGTAAAGCAGCATATAATGCTTCGTAAGCACCAACTGTTACAAGAACTTCATTATTTGGATCTAAAGTACGGTTAAGCAGCTTAGAATATAATTTTGCAATAATATTTACTAAACGTGGATGACCCTAAAATAATGATATATTAAAAAAGTCAAAATCAATAAATAAAATACATAGATATTCATAAAACTGCTGAAATATTTACAAATCCTCTAGTATACTGGTTTAGGAGAGGATTATTGCTAGTAGTTACATTAGTTAAAGCTTTTGTTATATTTTCTGGAGCAGAAAAATCTGGAAATCCTTGTCCTAAGTTTAATGGTTTATATTTTAAAGCCAATTGGGAATATTCCACCCTAAAATAAAATTAGTTTAACATATTAGTTTAATACATTTATAAGTGTATATGCATGTTTAAAATTCAATATAATTTATCGGACATTATCTACCATATTGATTTCTCATTGCCTTTGAAACGTTCAGGAAGATCAAATTTAGACATTTTAACAGAATAGTTTTTAGTATTCTTTAATATAGACAAAGGAAATGTTATTTTTGAAGTTGTACTTAAACAAGATTTAAACATCTAAAAAAAGAAACAAACAATAAATCATAAAACATTATATAATAGTCGATTATAAATTTGTTATTTCTAATATATACCTTAAATTTTATACTTTGAGATACTACATTTTATTTTCAAATATTGTATGATATTGTAAAAAAAGTACAGCAATACGTGTAAAATTAAAAACATTTATAAATTACAATAAGCTTTGTTTACACATTTTATATATAATTTTCTCATTTTGTTCTAATATACAATTAAAAATTCAACAGAAATGAATTATAATTAATTTTTTAGAAATAATTTGTAGATTTATTAATTTATCAACACAAGAAGGTATTTACAGGTATTTAGAACAAGTGTTAAATAACATAAAAACTCTATACTTTTAAACATTATAAGTTGAAATACTAGTTAAAACTAGTTTGGGTATACTTATTTTAATAAATAGTAAAATATAAGTTATTAGTACAATTATATTTGCAATTAAAATATAATTATAATTCTATAATCGTAGTACTTACCACATGACATATAATAATGGAATAATAATGCAATAGCCTTTGCTAACCGTACACATATATTACGTAAAATTAAATGCAAAATGGACGTAACGTCGTGTAATTGTTTTCTTATCTTACTAAGGGTATGCAACAAGTATTAAATATTTATCTTAACATAGTAATTTTTATGTTACATAGTACAAATTTATTTCAAAGTAACAAAGTAATTTCTAGTACATAGTAATTTCTAAATTTGTATAGTGATTTTATTATATACCATTGGTAATTTATTTATTACTAAATAAAATATTCTTGATTCCTTTTTATATTTCATATTATAATAACGCGAACATATTTTGTACAGTTTTATAAACGTATAGTATATATATACATATTAATAATTAACTTTAATGTTAATATATCTCTAAAAAGATTGAATGTTTTAGACATTTAATATGTTTCAATTATAAACTTATTATGACGTATATTGTACAAAAATGTTGCCTTAATTATGTTAAAAAAATTTGTTAAAAATAATACACAACAAACTTACCACAAAAAAACATAAACAATGTATAATTTCCATTTTTAAATCTACGTAAATTATAAAATACAAAACTATAAAGTATTTAATTATTGAACATTTAAAAAGCTACATAAGCAAGGAGTTGATTTCTTTCAAAAGTAGATCAAGGTAATTTACAAGGTTTGTATAAAATCCAAACGACGAAACAAGTACCACTTCTGCGTTCAAAATGAAAAGGATGTTGCTAAAAGCTACATCTTGCGAAAGTGTACCTAACTACAATAATTAAAACATTGTATTATTTAAATGATTTAAATGTTATAAAAACTTTTTAATTTATTAAAAATATGTAATTTGTGATGCGATTTTATTTACAATTATCATATTTATGTATAGTAATAAGTGACTTAAGTGCCAAAAATAGGTATATGACTACATTATTTAAAAATTTACGGAAAACAAAAAAATAATAAAAATTTAAAAGTCATAAAAAATCTAATATTAAAAATGTCCCAATCTCAACAAGACATTGAGGAGTTATATGATCTTTATACAAAAACTGCTGCTAATATTATTGCTTATTATGGTAAGTATTTGTAAGGTTAAATGGATAATATTTAAAATTGTAATCAATGTACAACAATATTGTACAGATATATATTGAACATATCAAAATATAGAACAAAAAAAAAAGAAATAATTTTTTGATTGTTCTGTAGTTATAAAAAATGTTGTATCTAACAATTTTATAGGTTTCTTAATTTATTTATACTTTTATGTTTATAGAAACTAATGAAAGGAAGAAGAAGTTAAAAGAACTAAGGGATATAGTACAAAATAATTGTATTCAAGATAAAAAATTAAAATCAGCAGAAAATGTAAGAAACCGATTATTGGAGTTCTATTATGATGATGATGACGATGATGTTGCACAAACAAATATTAAATCTGCCTTAAACGTAATTATATAACATAAAGAATTATAAAGTATATTTATTCATATGAAAAAAAATAACACATATTTAAACAATTTTAGGAATATAAGACAGCCATATCTGAAATTAATACTGATGTATCAAATGATGATAAACTTTTAGAATTTGATAAACATGTGGAAACATTATTAGGTAGATTTATAGTTGTAATAATAAAGAAAAATATGCTTCACTTTACAAATAATAAATGCTTTATGAATAATGACAATATTTTATATTACAGATAGAGTAGCAGATAAAGAAACTGATACAAGTGCAGAATTACAATTAACAGGAGGCTATATAAATGTAATTGATCCAATTTCTAAGAAAAGAATTGTGGATCCTGTGAAGAATACTATATGTGATCATACTTATGATCGAGAAAGTATTACACAAATACTGAAAATTAATAAAAAGACAAGGTAAATATTCTGTTGATAAAAGTCACTTGTATTAAATAGTCGTAATTATAAATTCTGTTTGTAGGTGTCCTGTTATAGGTTGCAAGAGTACAGAATTTGTAACACTTGCTCATCTTCGTACAGATATTGTAACAAAAGCATATCTAGAGAAAAATCCAGAATAATGTTTCATGAAAATTTAATATTTAACACTGTGTAATATTCATTGTTGATAAATGTATACAAGACCAAAGTTTAGTGTTTATACATTATCAAAACAGAAATAAAGGCTGCATGTGATATGTCATGGACCTGAACACAACATGTGACCTAGCATGACATGTTGTACATTGTAAACATATTTCTGTGATTAGTACTCTATAAAAATGTTGGCTCTGCTCCAAATCACTGCTGTAAGAGTTTATTTTAAGTATTAAGGGACAGTATAAAAATGTATCTTCTAAAATAATATAAATAAATCGTGTACATGCAAAAATATAGTTTATTGAATAAAAACGTATATATAATTATATTTATTAGATTGTTATTGAAAAAAGAGTAGCTTTTTACAATGTTTTCTACACAATTTTTATTTATGTATTATTTTTATAACAATGTATAAAATATACAATTTCAATAAAATATTAATAACGAAACAACTTCAGATTATTATATATTTGTTTGTGCGTATAATTTGTGTCGTTATCAAACTATGTCAACACTTAGGCTATGTTTATACTTACGTTTTTATCGACGGTATTAATTCTGTCTCGTGGGAACGCTCGTCGGACTGTTGACGGATTCAACATGGATAGTAGCAATTGGGACCCATTTCTATTTATATCTAAAGATTTGAATGAATCACCGAATTATGATATAACATGTTGGGTACGGCAACTACATCTGCAGCAATGTGCTTTCGTAGAAATTGGTGAAGGATTTTGTGCTGTAAGAAAAAGGATTTCATATAAAATACTTTCTTCTTTGCAAACAATCTAAATAAATATAACCTTCACGTAATATAAACAAAGAGCAAGTTCGAAGAAATAAAAAACTTTAACAAAGATTAAATTTTCGTGCAATACAGTTCTATTTAATATTTAGTTGTTCGTCGAATTACGTAGCATACCTTCGGAATCAAAAGTTCTGGATAGTTCTGGGGTCGGTGAATTTTTCCTCGGAATTTGTCCCTGCTTAACTCTTCACACTTGGGACCTGTGTTCACTCGAACTGACACGACAGAGGAAAGCAGACTGCACTTTTAACGAAGCTACTCCATATTCAAACACAAGTGCAAGAGTTCATAGACGATTATGCGATATAACTTCTCTCGCGGAAAGTACTTCAAGCTGCAACTGTTCCATATCAATAGCTGGTCAGGCATTGTATAAGACGGAAGGTTGATATAAAGCGTGTAATATAATACAGGAAATACTTATTTCAAAGATAATTTTCAGGATTTCCAACGTGTTTTCTAAATCCTCTACCTGAGAGTCTATGTTCACCACGTGGGATTTGCGGTATTGCACAATGTACTGCAACCACGATCAAAGGAATACACACCCCTCAATGTGCCTCGAACTGTCATCACAGACAACCAGTAATGTTATTTTGCCTTAGGTACTCTCGCGTAAAATTACAATAATAATGTATTTCAAAATATCAACAAGACATATTTAAATATACGTTGTCTTTCCTTTTTTGAGGTTTGGATATCTTTCTTTTCAAAGAAATATTAAACATTACAATAAACAATTCCGCCATGTTCCTCTTAATAAAATTTATAATTTACATTTAAATTAAAAATTTAGATTTACCCACGTTTCTTTTAGTACAATTTTTAAGAGAATAAAAATTTCTGGAATAATTATATAGTATTATCACGTGATTATCAATAAGGTAAAATTCTTTAATTAATGAATAAGAATTAACTTAATTTCTACAATACAATTGAATTAAATATGAACTTTACTTAATTCTCGGTATAACCAAAATATTTTGTACTAAAATATCAGCGTATGTATAGTATATTATTCCCTCTTGTTTCGATTGGAAGATAACGAGACCTTATGAAATTTGATACTCGTAGTTCTGCGAAGAAATTGGACCTTCAACTTCAATACCAGCGGAAATTAATTCCTTATGGTCACGATGGTCTTCTCCAAAATGCAACAGCACTTGTGGTAGGGGATTCCTGGTAGCCATTGCATCATGCCAAGATCAAGTAACGTAAATAAAGATAAAAGCAAACATAGACGTATATAATAAACAATAATAACAGTAATAACAGCAACAATAACAATAATATCATTCTTCCTCCTTAAATTTGAAGAATTATAAAATATTACTGCATATCTCTTATTATATACTGGGTGTTCAACTTTAATGAGTAAATGAAAATTACTCATTGACTACTTACTGTACAAAAAAAAAATCATTCAAATCTCGTTTGAATGATTTTGAAGGAAAGATAAGAAAATTCTATAGATAATATTAATTTTATTAAAAATAATTGTACAATCCTAATGTTGATATTTGTTATTTTTGTCAGCAGTCTATGGACGTATCCTAATATTTTTTAGAGGAAAAGCAGCCATAGACTGTATCGGACCAGGATCATTTTGGTGAGCCAACGTTCCTTTAGGGAAGTTCCCTCGAATTCCTTGACCATGACGAAAGGTGTGAACTTTTCTAGCTGCCCGGATAGCTTCAGCAAATGTTACTGCGAGGTAAACATGGTCGATGGAATTATGAGAGCGGCCAGGTTCACAGAACCTTGCATTTCTACCGAGGGGTGTATCTCAAGCAACGTTAGAACATTCACTTTCGAAGGAGAACTCGATCCTGGTAACAACATCGATTTCGACGAAGCTTACGAGAACGATGATCGTGAAAGGTTCGAAGGTACTAACCTGTTATGTTTACGATTTCAGAATGTTGTATACAGGGTGTTAAAAAATATGCAACTGACAATCAAATTTTGAGCGTTCAAGTGAGTACTCTGTTGAAGTATGGTTAGGAATACTTCATGTAATTCATTTACTAGGGGGTAAGCAAACAGTACAGTTGGACTAGAATGGATAGTACGTAGTATGCAATGAAAACAAAACTAAAATGAATGAAATATTCGTGAATAGATATTATATATATTATTAAGTATATATGTCACCCATTGTCGAATTCCTTGTCGAATTAGACGTTTTTGAAGTTACCTATTTTGAATTTACCTATTTTGAAGCTACTTTATTAAAATTAGAAAAATATAACATTTCAATATAACATTTCATTTACAAAAAAATAAAGGTCACCTTGAGTCTCCAAACACCTTACACTTATAAAAAGATTATAATTTGTATATTATAAACCACTAAAGCCTCCTCATGTCTCTAAAAATAAGGAGAACATGTAAAATGATCAAGATTCAATGGTCCACCCTGTATATTCATTCATTATTCATACATACGTATGAATATATTCAAATAGCAATATGACACATCACATAACTAATGGAGGGGAATTAAAATTCTGTCTCCTGTTATGATTTTTTGCGTATTAGTATTAATTTGCTTTTTGTTAAAACTTCTTGCACCTTTCATTTAAATATAACAGAATAATATGCAATGAATTTCATTCGCAGAGGTCGCTTCGTTACCAGGAAATTTGAATTTAAAAATAAAGTTATTTTCAATGAAAGGTAATATTGCTTGATAGATTCGTGGTAAAGTCATTATATCTGCATGGGAAATAAAAATTCACCAGGAAAAATGATTATTGGAGCGTTTGAAGAAATGAAACGTTAAGGGGCAGTAGCCATATTTCACGCATCCGTAGTTCTATGGGTTCAGTTCCAATTACCACGAATAAGATCTTCAGAAATTTCTATTGCAACGAAATAATTTTACTATTATTTCTTACAGTTCTCCAAACTTGCCCATTCTTAACGCCAGAAACGAGATCTTAACTTTTCGCACTCGAGAGGCGCCTCTCGGTCGCCATTTTGTCAAATTCTAAAGATGGCAGTTAATGAATATATCAAATTTGCAATTATCCAACGATGCGTGGAATATATATACCGAAATAAAATAATTCTACGTCTTAATTTGCACACGTTTTCTTATTTACCGTGTTAGAAATATCGTCGACTTTGAGTCTTCGAATTAATTAATTACTATTAATTACTATTTTCCTGTAACGAATACATCGCCGAGTGTAAAGGCGGTTGCAAAACATGAATGAGATAATTATTTACAAGTCATCCTTTACCTTTTCTCAGATATTGCGTCACAATTTTAATTATCATTTGACATATTTTAACTGATCCAACGCAAGCCATTGATGTGCTACTTTGCAGACACGTTGTGTCCCCCGGAATCAGCGCGAGTAGTAAAACGCAACCTCCTGCAAGCTGCGAGTGCCGACCAGGAGGAGGAGTACGTGTTACGCGAAAATAGACTGGCAAACAAGAACTTTAAAGGCATCCACGGATATCGTTCCGTTCTGAGAAGTCGATTAGGCGATGACGCCGACTACAGTGGCCAAAACGAAGACGACGATGAGGACGATGACGAAGAGGGGGACGAAAAGAGCGGCCCCGGCGATGGGAAGGCCGACGAAGACGACGAGGAGGAGGAGGACGACGAGAACAGCGACGAGAACAGTGACGAGACGGTGAACGAGTCGGAGACAGGGCGCTATTACGATTACGGTTAGTACTTAGACGTAAATCTTTTCCTGGCTTTTCTAGATCGGGCACAGAGGTTCCGCAAAGGGTCGTCGGAGCCCCAGGAAACATACTCGAGAGACGAGGTCCGATTACGCGGCGATTGCGTTCGAGGGTAAGCAAGAGGTCGACGAACCAGAGAGGAAGGGGCCTATGGAGATCAGATCCGCTACGGAGGAGTGTGAAGATGATTCCACGGAACCGCTGCGATATTACGATTATGGTGAGGAAATGGTGGACGAAGAAAATTCTTGGCTTCCGTTGAAAATTCTTCCCCTCGTCGTTACGTCTCTCCTGGCTTACAGCTAATAACTAGATTTATCCTAGGGTAACACCAGATGGGGAAAAATATTACAGGGACTCACAGATTTTGTAGGCAATTTTATGTATCTAATTGGTAGATACGAGCTTCCGTAGTAGGAGTGGGAGAGCGATGTGTATATATATGAAGATTTTCGACAATAAGTCAGTACAGTACAATAACTCAGTATTCAATCTTCGTTAGTTGAGTCAGTTGCGTTAGTTGCGATTAGAACAAGGTATATAGAGCGTTTATACAATAAGAACTAAATTGTTAGTAATAAAGTATTAGAATAATATAGATAAAAATACAGTGTCATTTAATTTTTTAACAGATTTATATTTTTTTTATTATATTATTATTATATATTTTTCCAACTCATGATCTTAATCTTAATCCAATATTATTGTAGGATATGTATATTTATTATTTATTATTATATATTTTTCCAACTCATGATCTTAATCTTAATGCAATATTATTGTAGGATATATGTAGTAATATCTAAAAAATGGTTGCAACATATTTTATCTGCTGATTAATGTATTATATATATACAATCAGTTTTTATTTGCCTTATTTGTTGTGGTTAATATAATTTCCATCCTTGAATCTCCTTCCTAGTTATTTATATATTTATAATCTTGGAAAAATATTGCGATAATTACTGCTGACTTGTTAGTTTTTTTAACTTGATCCATTGTTTTTGAACTTTGTATCTGATATTGCTTTTGATGTATTTAGTTTGTACAATTACAAAGATACTGCTTCTGCAGTATTAAATAATTTTAATTCTTAAATACCTTTATTTGTATAAAAAGAGTAGTATCTACAAACTTATATCACTTTAAGTAATTACAAATTTTGACAAACACATTTATTTGTATCTTGATTATATATCAATATTCATTGTTCTGTTTTCTATTCTTTAAGCAATTGTTGTATTATTTTCTAGAATCTGCCAGAGGAACATCACTCGCTTTTCGAACTGGACTCGCCTTAGAGCTGGTAGTATTAGGAATTTTATTCTGGTTCTTGGAACATTAATGGCCGAGAATAAGTTACAAATTAATGATCAAGAATAGCTGTATCCCTGGCTTGAAGTGGAAGATTCTGACCCCGCTGTAATAAAACTATTATAATACATAATTGAATAATTTCGATTTAATTGAGTTACAGATATAAAACTCTAATAAATTCTAAAAATAAAGTTCTACATACACATACATATATTTTTCTTTAATAATTATTAATAATATAATTAATATAATTTAATAAATATTCAAACTATAAAACTTATATTAAGTTATATAAACTATAACTTATAATAACTATAAAACAATGGGTAGCTCACAATTGATTATCCATGAAAATCACATTACATTACAAATTACACGCATAAATATATTACACAGGTTTACGAGGTACCAAATATATCACCGATCAGATAAAATGGCAGATTAAGAGATCCAATAATTATTTTCAGCAGCGTACGTATATTTATTGTTGGGCTTTCTTGCATTGCATCTCCTCCAGGCAGTACAATGAATCAGTTAATTACAATATTTACCGGCCAACAAGTTCCTACAGGCGTTCAAAGCTACACGCTTCTGATAGCCACTTTCACCAGGGATTTAAATGATCCTAGAAAGTGAATCCTTAACAGCCTCGCGATGACTTTTCTATCCGTGTGTCCCTCGTTAATTTTCACTGACCTGAAATTTTTGACGATTTACATTCAAATACGCATAACCGCGAGATGCAAATTAATAAGAAAATAATAAAGAAAACAGGGTAATAAAAGATTACTTACACGAAGAAGTGCCGTTTGTGTACCACGTGCTGGAGGCATAATGGCGGCATAATTAGTTTCCATCTAACGGTTCTTCTTCCATATTTAAGCCCAGGTACTCGATCGATGAAAGCTGTTAGATTCGTTCGCTTAAAATTCTACCTTCGAATATTCATGGCGTGAAACTTGCGTGCACACGCAATGGAAACAGGAATCTGGAACAGACGGTAAAACTGAAATCAGATTTCAGGAAGTGATAAACGAAAGGATGTGCCTGTCTCGCGTTGGAACATATGTGAGAGATTTAATGTAACACCGTCCTGACACATTTAAGGTTAGGACTTGCTCGTCGATTTTTACACAACGTTCCCGTTGTCCGCCATTATTTGTTATCGATAATCGAATAAAGAATTTTCTGATAAAATAACACGATAGCTGACGGATTAACAATGGCGTATTTGTGGATATTTCTAGAACACGTTATCAAAAAGTCATTCATAACCGAGGAGATAACCGAGGAGATGAAATGAGTACATCTGCTGATCAAATTCTTTGATGCTAACAGATAAATTGTAGTCTAACAACGTTATCTAATAATTATCTAATAACGTATTAGGTATGGTAAGCTCGAAGTATGAAAGATGCGTCTAATTGTGCCAGTAATTATAAAAGTAGCCTGAGCAGAGTATTTTCTATTTGTTATTTGATCTTTAAATAGTTTAATTTCTTTTTCTATAAAATTACTTATTTTCATTTATTATACTATTTTATGTTATACTATTTATTATATTATTTATATTATATATTTATGGCATTTTTCATTTGATACCTGGCCTTTGTTGTGATTAAAAATTGAATTTTTTTCTTTTATTTATATTATATAGATTATTTATTTATAACATACTATTTATTATATTATTCACATTATATTTCATTTGATTTTTGGCCTTTATAGTGATTAAAAATTGAATTTTTTTCTTTCACTTATAACATATTATTTTGGGTCATACTGTTTATGATATTATTTACAAAATTATTCTCATAAGGCAAAATTTAATTTTCTGGGATTTTTGTCTCAGGCCACATTCGCAATTGCCGACACAATTTAATCTGATTAACGTAGAGAACCCGTGGTCGTGGTACTCTTCCTATTCATACTTAAACGAACGCAATGATTTTATTTTTAGCATGCTAGGATATTTATCTGCCGATCGAAGAAGGGTGGAATTAGGTACGAAGGAGCATAAAGGGCCTCTAATTGGATCTGATCAACTTAATTAAGACAATTCATGCGGTCGTCAACCGTTTGTCGAGAAACACGCCATCTATAATGAGAATATCCCGGCCACGTATGAATGTCCATTGCGGATAAACCGATTGTATTAGAGATTGCTTAAGCCGATTTTATCGTCACGATCTCAATCGAATATCTCTCGTATCGGCATTTTTATATAAGCGAAACACGATGCGATTACTAAAATTACGATGGCATAGATAAACTAACCTATGTCGCTGTGTTGCTCCCAACGCACACACACACGCGGAAGTTACCGTGAATAATGATTAGATGTGACTCGTTTGGTTGCGTGAGAGACCCGTTGAACATCGAATTAGACATACGTGTCCCGAAAGACTTATTCGATTAACTGAAAAGAACAAAATAAACGCGTACATGTAACGCGAGTTCTGAATCTGATTGAACTGACGTTTTTGTTCAATGCGGTATAGCACGCGAAGCAGGGAGTTGAATTGAACTTAACACACAATTGACATAATGAAATTATTGATAGATCGTAATATACGAGATGGTAAAAAGGAAAACATAAAAGATAGTATTATTCCTTTTGTTATTAAATAGGGGGACAGGTTAATTTGAAAATTACGTGAACTAGGATAATAAGATATATGAAAGTCTAGGGGAAAAATCGGAAGTGTTACGATTTTTATAGATAAAATTTCTCATACTTTAGAGGTTATTAGAAGAGCATTGTTCCTTATGTTATCAAACAGAGGAATAAGTTAATTTGAAAATTACGTGAACTAGGATAATAAGATATATGAAAGTCTAGGGGAAAAATCGGAAGTGTTACGATTTTTATAGACAAAATTTCTCATACTTTAGAAGTTATTAGCAGAGCATTGTTCCTTCTATTATTAAGCAGAGGGATATATTAATTTGAAAATGACGTGAACTAGAATAATAAGATATATGAAAATCTAGGGGAAAATAGGAAGTATTACGATTTTTATAGACAAAATTTCTCATACTTTAGAGGTTATTAGCAGAGCATTGTTCTTTCTATTATTAAACAGAGGGATATATTAATTTGAAAATGACGTGAACAAGAATAATAAGATATATGAAAGTCTAGGGGAAAAATAGGGAACATTACGATTTTTATAGACAAAATTTCTCATACTTTACAGATCATCAGAAAAGAAACTAGATTCGATAAATATGTTTCATTTATATTGTTGTTTTAATATAGTCAAAATGTACACCTGAAATCACTAGAATCACTAGAATTTCTGAAATCAATTATATCTGTATTTATATTAAATTCCTTAACATGGAATGAATGTAGGTTTTGAAACATTTGAAACAATGTATTTTAATTGAAAGTAATTTGCATCGATTGCATGTAAGTCCGCGAGAAAATATTCTCTGTGAATAATTACATAAGCCAGAGTTATCTAAGCAAATAAACTGTTCTTATAAATCATTTTTTTCATTCTCCATGCAATTATGTAATTATCTAGATAAAAATTAGTTAACAAATAAATCACTGAATATAATTTCTACTGTCATTCTTGTTAGCTGATATTGAAATAACGTTTTACTTTCGGCTAAATTAAAATTGAAAGAAGCCATTAATTTACTTTTTACTTGTGAGATTCTAATCATTTACCATTGAATAACGTTTCACATTGTATCACGAAACCGGGGTAATGCGATTAGGATAGAAGAAACGCATTACCGTGATCGCATTTCCTACGATGTAGAAATGTTTATTACACGTATCGAAGTTAACGCGTGATATTGAAATGGAGAAAAAAAAATTCCATAGGCGTTCCTCAAGGTGCTTCGATAATTAATTACTAACCTTTATCTTGATGGCGAGCACCGTTATTTGCGTTCTTACGCTAGGAATTCATTTGTCCGTTTTCCGCTCTGACTCGAGAAGATGCTGCAGAGAACAGTTGCTTGAGAAAGCACTAAATTGTGAGCACGAAATGTATAATCCATTTTAAAACTTCAACATATCACTACGTTTGGGGATAGTCGTAATTATCTGTTGACTATTACCCTTTAATTCACTGTATACGATTATTCCGTTCTACGTATAATTTTACATTCTATCTGGCAGTATAAATTTCTCATGAAGCATATACGATACATATTTCATGAGAAATCATCATACGAAATTATCGGTGATGTTGAGTTTAAAAACCCTTAGAATTCTAATTTTCGATAATTAAGAGTAATAGAAACAGCATCTGAGAACGTTGGTAGTTTAAACTGAATCGAATAACAGAAGATACCCGACGGGTATAGTATTTCGATGAACGTAGTAAATATTTGAACGAGCACGTGACATTTAATACACGACGAGTACGATGTGATATGATACGGAAGCTGAATTAATGAATGGCAACGTTTAAGAAGCGTATAATGTAACACTACTGTTCGCAAATTAGAAAATTAATGTCAGACAGGGAAACTAGTTTCGTACAATTTTCTGAACACTGTTGCACCTCGTAAGTAGGTTATGTTGCGCGCGCATCGAAATTTCCTTAATCGGCTGTCACACTGTTCGACTATCAATTCGAGCGTAACCATTCACAAATTATACGTTTGGCGATAGATTAAAGAAAAAGGAACGCTCAAAACACTTTTGCCCCCTTCCCGTGTAAACGTGTATTACAGCTGAGTCGTTTACCACGAGCAACACCGTTCGCACCTTTCGCAACGATTTACGACTTGCATCCTTCGTTGTATAGTCATAGACTGGGTTCGGACGATTGATCATGGTTCCGTAAGTAACGCGATATCCCGCAAGGAATGCTTGGCGATACCTTTAAACGCGAAGTACTGTCGACAGCGCACGTAGAACTTGACCCCGCCGCGTCAATCCATCGCCGTTCGGTGTCAGTGACCTGCCTCAAAAAAAGAAACTAATTCCACCGGCCAGTGGCCCGTTACACACTCCTCTCGTCGCATATACGACCGAGAGATGGATTCTGTGATCTCCCGAGTCGAATTCAGAGCCGTCTGTCGTCCGTTTCGGCGACTGGTTCGATGTACCGATCGATCTAACCTTCCG